TGAGCTAAGTTTCCCCAAATACTTAGTGAACCCAGGGTAATATTGTAATTGTTTTGATTGTTTTCCTTTGCATGTCTATTATTACTAGTACCATTATACATTTCATATACTCAGCAATAAATAACTTTTATAGTCAAACTGATAGTAACTGGGTTCATGTTTCCTCCTTTACTTTTCCTTCCCCATTTGCTCTGCAGAAACGCTTCTTTTACCTAAGCTAAAGATCCCTGTGAAGCCCAGAAATACTGTGGGGTCTGCTCATCAAGAGGCTAGCGCTACTAGGACAGATAGGGCAAAAGATTGGGACGTACTGAGTTTGTACAGCTTGTACAGGCTGATTGACCCAGTTTGGCTCAGACATGCCCTAATGAACTGAATGCTGGCCCATAAGGGTGTCAGCTGGACACCCAGCTGGATTCAGAGGTATTCTGTTTACCTGTGTGCTTGTGTCTGACTGCATTTTATTGTTACCTTAATGAACTGATTCCTGGCATATGAGGGTGTCAGCCTGTCCATGATGATCATCAACCCAGCCGGGTCAGGCGTGTCACGTTAATCTGTGTGTATGACTGATTTGGTGGCTGGAGGAACCCAGCCCCACTGAAACTGTGTCCTGCAAGATGGCTCCATTGCGGGTGAGGACTTGCAGAAGGGAGATATACAGCTCCGTATAGAAACACAAGTAACACAAGCAGCACATTGATAGAATTACAAAGACCCTAGAAACATATCCCTAATAAATAAGCACACCCCAAAGTGATGGGCAAATCTGGTAACACTGTAGAGTTTAGATTATGGGTTGTATGGGATGGTTGGGATAGGGATGATCCTGCCTCAGACAGGGGGTTGGACTAGATGACCTCTGGAGATCCCTTCCAGCCCTACTTCTCTAGGACTCTAACACAGCTAACTACCTCAACAACTGCTCTTCAAAGCCGAGACCTCTGACCACAATTAATTTAAGGTCCAAAGTCTTTAAGGATTTTCTCATCTGCTTTCTAAATCAGCTTACAAAAATCAAGAGAAGCAGCTAAAAAAACTTTTAGGCACTCCATCAATGACCTGACAGCTCTCACTGCCATGCAAGATGTAATCTAACAGTCAAACTAATCCCACTTTATTCCAAGGCACAGAATACAACAGTCATGCTTCCGTGAGAGAGACAATCCTCCCAAACAAAACATTACATTAAGTCACTCACCCATTCTCTATATGAAACAAATAACATGAGTCAGCCATGCAAGCTGAAGTAGAGGCCTAACATTTCAACAAACACAAATGGTGCCAAACAACTAAAAAAGAATTGGCAAGCCAACAGAAATAAAAGACTTATCAAGGCATAAGATTTCCAAAGCATGCCTCAGGATCTACCAGCTGCTAACACTGCTGATTTTCCTGTCTTAAATTAGACTGGGATCTAAAGAACATGCGGGTTAAAGTAAAGCCTGTGGAAGAACTACTGAGGTGTTAAGAGTCAACAAGTACCAAAACCTGAAGTAGCAAGCATAGGACTAAAGAGTAGTTTCACTTACCATGGTGTGAAAGAAACTGGCCCCCAGAAGAAATCGAAAATGCCAGTGTTTCCTTCTAGGAGATGGTCTAAAAGACATCCTGAAGGAAACAGTAATGTCAGAAGGTTGAATAGATGGAGGTCTCGCATAGGAGAGACCCAAACATGAAAATCTACAGTGATAGATCTGTTATACTGAATTAGCAGTCAATTTTGGTGCTGCTGTTGTTTTTACATTAATCCACATTTCAGAGATTATGACCTCTCTTTTTGAATGCAAAAACTGCCAGTCATCCATTGCTTTGTCACCTCCAAGTTACAATGCTGTGATGTCCTCTACTTACAGGAAGCTGAAGACCATCTGGAAAGTTCAGCTGGTGCAGAACACAGCTGTTCACTCCCTTAGAGTCAGTCATTTTCAACACCAGCAACAATATCTAAGCAGTGCTTCAGAGATTGCCAAACTTAAAATACACAAGTTTTTCTGAAAGATATTAATGCGTTTGATTTGTATTTCAACCCCTACATAGCTTGCATCTTAGCTATCTTTAGGCCTGATCCTGTACCAATAAAATCCAAGGAAGTTGTATAGAATCACAGAAAATTAGGGTTGAAAAGGACCTCAGGAGGTCACCTACAGCTCAAAGCAGAACCAGCTCCAATTAGATCATCCCACCTAAGGCTTTGTTTAGCCAGGTCTTAAAAACTTCCAAGGATAAAGATTCCACAGCCTCTCTGGGTGGGGTAACAAGTGGGTGTCCCAGGGCCGGTTAAATCGTTGGCCCGCCCACCTGTGCCTATGCAAACCACCCGCCTACTTCACTCATCACATCTTTGATAATAACAAGGCAGGAGGCTACCCATTTACTTGTCTTGATGCCAAGGGCTTATATACCCGGCTCCAACCTTCCCTATACCGTGTCCCATGCCTCACAGATGGCATCCATGGCCTAACACCTGGCCTTAGCTTGTTTGGCCTAACCCTCGGCCTATAGGTCCATGTCCTCTCACTGCAACCTGTGCTCCAGAGTCTTATGTGGGACACACACTCCCCACTGGAAATTGTAATGTCTGTGCCCTTATACTCCTTCAATCAATCAGGGCTCCCAGCCCCTACCAACTCGGGCACCGTGCCCAGCTTGGTCCCATCTCGGTCCCCTCACACCCCCACACTGGGGCCTCATCTCCTGCCCTACACTGGGCTTCACAAATCCCCTTATCCCAGGGCGGGCAATTATTTTGGGCAGAGGACTGCTTACTGAGTTTTGGCACGCTGTCAAGGACTGCATCTTGGGACCGGAAGTCCTGCCCCTACCCTTCTATCTTTGTCACCGGAAGTCCCTCCCCTTGCCCCTGGAAGTACTCTTTTAGGGAAGAGGGCAGGGAACAAACTGCTGGTCACTGCTGGCAAAAAGCGTCCCTCCCCCTCTCACTGCCACGCTGAGCAGCAGTTTGTTCCCCGCCGCTGCTGCTCAGCCTGGACGGGCAAGCCCGGAGCCAGTGCAGGGCCCAGACTCAGCAGCGGCAGCGAGGAACAAACTGGTGCTCAGCGCAGACAAAGAGTGGCTACTCCCTCTCCTGCTGCCAGTGCCCTTGCCCCACGGGGTGGCAGTGACACGGCAGAGACACAGGACAGCCCCGCGCAGGCCGAGAGTGGCTGCACTAGGAAGCGCCCACCACAGGGAGGGGGAGGGGCCACTTTTCTCCCATGCTGAGCAGCAGTGTGTTTCCCGTTGCTGCTGCTCAGCCCAGATAAGCAGCACGGAGCGCATGGGGTCAGGGCTGTACCGTGAGGCTGGGGGTAGGGACACTGGGAGTGAGCGGGTACACAGGAACCAGCCGCAGCTGGGTGGGAGTGCGGGGGCCATGCTAGTGTCCTGGGGCAAGCACCAGCACAGCCCAGAGCAGGGCGGGACTAGCATGGGGTCCCAGCCAGCTGAGGCTCTATGGAGCTGGGCCAGCTCCCCCCTCTCCCTGCTGGCGCAGCCCAGCCTAACTCCACAGACCCCTGCCAGCCCACACCCAGCACTCCTACTGCCCCACTCTGGGCCCCACCAGCACTGGCTCCTGGACATGGGTGCAGGCCTTGCACTCCTGCACACCACTCACTTCCACTCCCCCCCGTTCCCGCTGCTGCTTTCCACATTTTCCTGTCCGCCTCTCTTCACCGCATGGCTCCCAGCTGCATGGCCAGACCATAAGGCTCAGCAGAAGCTAGCCGAGCCTCGAGGACTGGGGCAATCCCCGCGGTCCTCCCCTGCCCCCCAACCCCCACTTCTTACCTGAATTTCTCATGCCAGCGCAGGCACAAACAGCCTCATGGTCCCAGGCCAGAAGCCTCTGCTAGGCAGGGGCTTCTGGCTGGGGCAGAGTAAGCCAGGCAGACCCTGCTGTTCAGAGTCCAGCCATGGCTTCCCCTGGGTCCTACTGCCCCTGACTCATGTCATCTTTGACAGGAGCCAGGGGCAGATAAATATTAATTTTCTAAAATGTTTATGGGCCCCGTGGGCCAGATAGAATGGGCTGGTGGGCCAGATGTGGCTCGCGGGCCTTATTTTGCCCACCCCTGCCTTATACCCTTGCCTGAGGAGCCTCACACCCAGCTCATTAATGCAACTCAGGTCTTACCATGACCCTGGAAGCTGCCTCAGGTCCCTTCCTAACCTGGGCCCTGCCTCAGGACTCACTGTGAGCCTGGGCTTCTGCTTTGACTCCAGGGTGTGCTCCCCTAGCCTTTCCCCTGCACAGGGTCACCCACAAGACAGCAGGACTGAGGCTTTCTGGTGCCCCATACTCACCCTTCACTGGGGAGGCCCCAGGTATAGCATTTCCTGGAGATTGCCCAGCCACCAGCTGTCCCACCACACCATCCAGCCCCAGCAGGGTGTAGTTTTAGGTCATGACCCAGGACCAGGAGCCTCCAGCCATCCCCATAGCTCCTGCCCTTACCTCCAAGATGGTATGAGCAGCAACTCCAGCTGGGTGGTGTTCTCCCAGCTGCTAGCAGCAAACTGCTGGCTACACTACTCAGGGCTCTGCTCCCAATCAGGTAATTGGGCCTGACTGGCAATGCAGCCACCTGCAGCCTGCTTTGCTGGCTGCTCATGCCCCTGTAACAGAGCACACCCTGTGCTCTGTTACAGTAACCTGTTCCACTTCTTTACTACCCTCCTTGTGAGAAAGTTCTTCCTAATATCTAACCTAAACTTCCCTTGCTACAATTTGAGACTTTTGTTCCTTGTTTTGTCACCTGCCACCGGTAAGAACAGTCTAGCTCCATCCTCTTTGGAACCTGCCTCCAGGTAGTTGAAGGCTGGTATTAAAGCTCCCCTCAGTCTTATCTTCTCCAGACTAAATAAACCCAGTTCCCTCGGCAGTCATGTACCCCAGCCCCCTAACCATTTTTGTTGCTCCCTGGTGGACTCTCTCCAATTTGTCCACATCCTTTCTGTAGTTGGGGGGGGGGGGGCGGCGCAAAACTGGATACAGTACTCCAGATGTGGCCCCACTGGTGCCAAATAGAGGGGAAGAATAACTTTCCTTGATCTGCTGGCAATACTCCCACTAATGCAGCCCAGTATGCCATTAGCCTTCTTCACAACAAGGGCACGCTGTTGGCACATATTCAGCTTATTATCCACTGTAACCCCCAGGTCCTTTTTTACAGAGCTGCTGCTTAGCCAGTTGGTCCCCAGGCTGTACTGGTGCATGGGATTGTTCTGTCCTAAATGCAGGACTTTGCACTTCTCTTCTCCTTACCGAATTTTATGAGATTTCTCTTGGTCCAATCCTGCAATTTGTCTGGTTCTTTCTGAATCCTAGCCCTACCCTCCAGCATATCTTCTACTCCCCCCAGCCTGGTGTCATGTACAGACTTGCTGAGGGTGCACTCCATCCCACCTTCCAGTTCGCTGATATATCACTGAGCATATCATGATCAAATGAGCAGTCCTAGAAGCTGTATATATTTCAGGAGTAGGAGGAGATGAATACCTTATATGGAACTGTTAATGATGATAATTAATCATTAATTAATATGATATGGAGTTTTTAAACTTCCCACAAGGCCCAACTAATATGCAGGTATTTATCTGATGAGCTATTTGAGACTCTTCTGAAACCTAAAATAAAGAGAGTCCTTCATGATAATCTAGGCTGCTAATGCAGAACTTCTTCTTGTATCCTTGTTATAAGCTAGATGATTTTCCAGAATAGTGCACAAGCAATGGCTCTTGTCATTGCTGCAGCAAGCTCATTCTTTGTGCAGGTCTCACTGAAGAGTTGGCAAATGAGCTTCTATTCCACAGTCTGCACTTCACCACACTTGCACATATTTGTGTCATTAGAGTAGCCCCATTTGATCAGGTTAGTTTTTGATCTTTCAGTTTGCGTGTACAGGCAATTCAGGCATCGCCATGTTGGTCAGTCTAGATCCACCCCTCTTGGAAGGTCCTCCTGGGGTTCCAGGTCCACTTCAGAACACCTGATTGCACATAATCTTCCTTTCCATAACCTCAGTCATGTGGTCTACTGTCATGTCCAATGGTGCAACGACAGTCACAAAACTCTTTTGCATTTTAAGCCATTTAGTTACTTCGTGTGACCACAGAGTAGATGCCTGGCGTATTCCTGTAATAGTAAGGGCTTTGCTTAACGTTCATAGCAAGAGCTTTGTATGCTGATTCCATAGTAGGCCAGTGAAATAGCACGTAGCTTTTTGCTCTGTGAGCGTGACCAAACCATGAACCTAGATAGTAGACTGTTGTAATACAGTGGAATGTGGTAAATATCACGTGTGTTGGATCACAACTCATCCCCAAATTCTTAGCTTGAGATAACGTTATCTCGAAGTTGGGATTTGGTTATTTACTTCGGATTATATAAGCTGTACATTCTTAAATTACAGGGAGTTCCTCCACTATGGCAAGAGCTCTTGCGTGGAGCCCGATGCAGGCTATCGCGTCCCCGGGATCAGGACACTCCGGGGCCAGGGGAACTATGCGGGGTGGCGGCTGCTGCCTAGAGCCGATGTGAAGTGATCATCCTCTCTGCTCTGTCCTATTGCCTGTCTCTGCAAGTATCCTTAAATAAAGCTTTGCAA